ATGAAACTCTAATTTTTCTATTTGACTTAAGATGGCCTCCAGATTTAGGGTTTTTATGTTAGCCCAACACTGGCTTCATCTGTGTGAATAATGTATCCATCCCATGTATTCTGGCATCCCATTCTTTCTCCATTACCAAGGCCATTGCTTCCCTGCCATTATAACTGATCATTTTTTCTGGATATTCTGTGTTTGAAAACTGAAAGGGGCTGGTATGATTGGTCAGCCAGTAAAGTTCTTGCCACTCAAGTACAAAAACCTGAGTTCATTCTGAAGAACCCACATGAAAAATACAGTCATTGTTGTAATTTAAGAAAAACAGTGTGAGAGAAAGATGCCATATGAGAGAGATGGGGGGGGGGGGGGCTTATTAGGGAAAGGGATCATAAAAGGGGGAAAGTGGAGGGAGAGGGGGAGGTGGCCTCTGAGGACAGGAGCAGCAGGTGAGAGGAGAGAGGGGCAGAACGGGGGAGGGAGGTGGCAGCAGGGCCTTTTAAAAGGGAACATAGTGAATAGGCACAGATGGTGCTCTTAGTGGCAGCAGCTGAAGGTGTATCCTGTCAGGACCCCACAGGCAGGCCAGTAGAGATGCCCGATTACCAGCACTTATGGTGGCACAATTGTAATCCCAGTGCTGAGGAGGTGGAGTCAGGCATTATCTCAGAGAGTTTCTAGTCAGCTGCAGACAGTGAGTCAATATTTATTGTTTGAATGTGTATGTTGTATGTATGTATGGTGTGTGGTGTGGTGTGTGTGTGTGTGTGTGTGTGTGTGTGTGTGTGTGTGTGTGTGTGTGCAAATGTGTGTTCAGGTGTGTGTGGAGGTCAGAGGCCTATATCAGATGTGTTCCTCAGTTTCCCTCCTTTTTTTTGAGACAAGGTCTTTTCCTGAACCTGGGGTGGGTTCAATGATTTGGCTAGATTGGCTGACCAGTGAACTTCAGGGGCCTCACCTCTCTGTCAGTGCTGGTGTTAAAGACAAAAGCTGCCATATCCAGTTCTTATGTGAGTGTGGGAGTCTGAATTCAAGTCCTCTTCTTATGTGGCATGCATTTCACAAGCAGCTATCTCTCCAACCCCAATAATTGCGCTTTGATTCTAAAGCTGTCCCGAGGGCCAAAGAGAAAGGAATATTAGCTTAATTGGAGACATTCGTGTTGAAAGGATGCTCAGGATCTATATTTAAACATTTTCTGGAAAAGGAGTGATTTCAAACAAGTCTTATAGGAACCACCTAGAAATTATTTGATTCTGTGACCTGTGTTTTGTTTGCTTGTTTAAGATTAAAATGGATTCCAGACTTTATTTGTGTGTGTGAGTCTCATAATGGGAAAAATAAAAAATGTGATGAGAGCCACATCTGCTCCTCCTAAACCAAATACTCTCAGAAAGCTGTCTTCCTTCCTGTTCCTTCCCTGCTTCTTTAAAGTGACTGATAAAGTGGTCATTATGGAGGAGACCATTGGAGGATTTCACTCACTTTCCTTCTGTTCTGTGCTCTCTCTGCTTGCTGACTGCAGGTGGAATATCGAACATCCTGCAAAGATTCTGTTATTTTTAAGACGTTTGTTATTCCAAATTACCTGGGACTCTTTGAAAGTCCTAGAAGAATGGTTTTATTTCAAGTTTAGTTTCCTCTGCTGTGTATCCAACCACATGCTTCCACCAGGATGTGAGCTGCAGACTATCTGGCTTTTCATAATAAAGTCAGCTACTTGACAAGTGTGACTTCCCCACAATGGAAGTATCTAGATGAATGGTTCTCAACCTTCCTAATATTTCAACACTTTAATACAGTTCCTCATGTAGCGATGACCCCCCAACCATAAACTTATTTTCATTGCTACTTCATGATTGCAATTTTGCTACTGTTATGAATTATAATATAAATATCTACATTTTGCAATGCTCTTAGGTGAGTCATTTGACCTCCAAAAGTGTTGTAACCCACAGGTTGAGAACTTCTAATTAGATGATCTACTGATGTCTCTTTTCCTGAGATGAAAAGTGTAATAGGAGAATAGATCTAATAGAGTGAGGTGAGGAAAATCCATCTTTCAATATAAAACAAAATATTTCTAGGGCTCAGGGGATGACTTGGAACATAGGGCACTTGCTGTATAAGTGTAAAGACCAGAGTCTGGATCCCCAGAAGCCACATAAAAGCAATAGCAGGTATGGTGACCATCAATTATCCCTTGAGCAAGATAGCTGGCTAGCAGGCTCTTAGTCAGATGAGATACCCTGCTTCAGTAAATATAGTGAAGAACAATCACAACAACAACTAAAATGAACTTCCAGTTTCCACCTACACATGCACATATATCCCCCTGCACAATCCAAAGATTCACATACGCATGCATGAATGCACACACATACTACACACATAAACAGGCAGAAGGAAAAAAGAAAGTATTTCCATATATCTACAGAAGTAGATACTGGAGCCAAAGCGGAAGCACTGGCTGGGTTGACCAGATGTGGAGTCACAGTATGTCTTCTCATACCCTTCACTTAAGGCAGCATTTTCAGAAATCATCATAATTGAATTTTCATTATGCAGTGCTTTTGGCCCAGCTGTGAAGAGAACACAGATATAATAAGCATGAATAAGAAGGGCTTTCAAAGAGACAAGGAAACATGATCCCCTGCAAAATTCCTAAGTCAAGTTCAAGCTGTTTTCTGTAAATCTGTTCCTAGTCAGCTTTTAAAGGTTACATGAGGTCAAATGAAGCAAAGAAAACCAGCACAGTAGTTATTTTAAGTTAAATCAGATTCAGCACTCTGTAGGACAAAGGCATCATTCTGTAATATCATAATCCATTTAAAGCATTTGAAAAGAATTCCAATGTTCCCCTTGGGCAACATAGACAAAAATCTTACCAAAGGTAAGTGAAGACCAATGTCTGACTTCATGCACAAAAAAGCTAATGGGTAGTATGCATGATAATCCAGATGCTTATGAACTAACACATGTGAGATGAACTTGGACTCAAGGAGAGAGCAGCCAGGGAGCAGCTCACACTGCAAAGACCACCACCAGACTGGTGTCATTGAGAACTTGAGTGCACAGGCACTCTGAGGGAATCAATCTTTCCCTTGTAAGAATGTAACCATCCTGTAACTCAAAGTTTTAAAAACAACATGTACAAATGAACTCACTAAAACAAAGATAGCTATGGTGAGGTTAAAATGCCATAGACATCTGGGAAAAAACAGACACTATAACACACATTTAAACAATTACAATACCCCTACTCACCTATACATCCAAACTTCTCTATCATCTCAATTGTGGCTCAACATTTTTCTCTATTTTTCTGGCATCTAAGTCATCATTGGGGAAAGAAGTCACTGCTTCCAATAAGTCCATTATCCACACCAAGTCATGCATCTGCTTCTACTGTTACCAGACTCTTACTGCCTGCCACGTAATTAAGTCCATTTTAAATACCCATTATGTATAAAGCCTTTCATTTCCTTCTTGCAGAGAAGCAAATTCAAAGTTCCTTAAATTTTGCCCTTAAGACCTGCTATGTGTTCCAACCTAACACTCCAGACTTATCTCTTACCACTTCCCTCAAGTGAACAGTATTCCACCACTGACCCATGTCTGGAGTTCCTGAATAAGCTATACTATCACATACTTTGGTGCCTTTCACACTGCATTCTTGGCAACAGGCTTCACAGTGCCTATCTCCTTCCAGACTAAACAAATTCCTTCTTCAACTAAGATCAGCCCTTATTCCTGCAGGTAGTAGCTACATAGACCCTCACACCCAAGCAATGAGAGCTTCAGGCTATATCCTACATTTTTAAGTCCTTAAAACAGCATAGTAAAACAAAAAAGTCACTGAAGCACCTACAATTCCTCTGTCTCTCAGTACTCCGACCAGCACAACAGGTCTGAATATTGGTTTATTGGCATCAGATCCCCCCCAAAAATGCCTCTCCAATTCTCTAGACCTGAGTTCTAGGAGCAAAAGGCAACTGTGGTGTTGTAGAATGTTATTTTAAGGTTGTGTGTTACTTTTGTTTATGCTGTGGAACATTTAATGATGTAAAGGTGTGTTGCTTCTGTTTATGCTGCATTTGTTTAACTCTGTGAAGCTGTGATTCTTTGCCTGTCTAAAACACATGATGGTCTAATAAAGAGTTGAACATCCAACAGCAAGACAGGAGAAAGGATAGGTGGGGCTGGCAGACAGAAAGAATAAATAGGAGGAGAAATCTGAGAGAAAGAGCAACAAAGGAGCAAGAGGAGAGAAGGATGCTAGGGACCAGCCACACAGCCAGTCATAGAGTAAGAGGTAAAGTAAAATATGCATAAATAAGAGAAAGGTAAAAGCCCAGAGACAAAAGATAGATGAGATAAATTAAGTTAATAAAAGCTGGCTAGAAATAAGCCAAGTTAATACCAGGCATGTATAAGTTATAAGTCTCCATGTATATTTATTTGTGTGTTGGGTGGTGCCCCCCAAAAGGGCCAAAAGAATAAAGATCCCTAAGAGTAAAAAA